CTTTCAGTCAAGCTGTGCTGAAATACCAGAATTGTCCTTGCACCACCCTTTGCATATTGAGCATAACCTTAACCTTTGATCTCAGTTCTTGGGAATAAAAAAAGCAGAATGGGAGAAATGTGTCTGAAAACCAGAACTTCACAGCTGTTTTCCTCCACAGCATGCTCTTCTCAGCATCCACAGATAAAACCGTGGCTGTGTGGGATAGTGAGACAGGCGAGAGAGTGAAAAGGCTGAAGGGCCACACGTCGTTCGTTAACTCCTGTTACCCAGCGAGGCGAGGACCCCAGCTCGTCTGCACGGGCAGCGACGACGGGACAGTAAAGGTCAGTATATTGAATAAGGAGACAGTCTGGAATGCAAGTAAGGTGGGGTCTGCAAAAGAATTTTTTGTTCCTCCCAGTTAAGTGTCTTATAACTTCTTTATCTGACAACTTCAGTTCTAGAAATAGCATTTGTTACCTCTTTTCCTTCTGTAATTCTTTGGTATAGGTTAAGTAGATTCAGTCGAAATACCATATTGGAGCAGCCTAAACAAGCTCTTGATTCTAAAGAGCAGCTGTTTTTCTGTTTAACAGTGTGCTTGGTGGTGGTGTGTTGTAATTAATCTAAGTCTAATGCACAAGAAACCAAGTTCTACTGAAGTTTTTTTTCCACCAAAAAAGCATAAAAATGCATGAGGAAGGCAAAAGATAACGGATTTTTTTTATTCTAGCTCCCTTCTTGCCCTATCCCCCATCCTTTTTGATTTAGGAAAGTTCTGTTTCTGTGTTTTTTGTAGATAACTCTTGAGATCTAGAAATGAATTTTAGTAGAACAGTCTGAGATACTGCAAAATGTCTGCAACTTTCTCTAAATTTTATTCTTAAATGTCTGTAACGTTTAAAACTGCCATGTCTTTTCAGCTGTGGGATATCAGGAAAAAAGCTGCTGTCCAAACATTTCAGAACACTTACCAAGTCTTGGCCGTGACTTTCAATGACACCAGCGACCAAATCATATCAGGGGGCATTGACAACGATATTAAGGTATGATGATCACTTCCTTACGCATCTACTCTTGACTTTAAACACCTTTTTTATCCCATTTTGCAACAAGCAAGATGCAGAAATGGTCAAGGAGAAACGTGGATAGCCATGCAGCTCCACCGCATCCAACCTCTCTGTTGGTACTGGCCTTGCAAACTTTTAAGGAGTTGTTCCAAAGCCTTGCAAACTTTTAAGGAGTTGTTTCAAGGCAACTT